CTGTCTGCGCCTGAACTAATCTGCCTATCTGCTTGTCGTACCTTCCGATTTAGTAAAGCACGCAAATATCAAAAGACAAAGGCTGGACTGTGACTGTGTATTGAAGTGCAACAACGACAAAGAAAGCCATGGTATTTATACCTTTTACAACAATATGGACAGCTAACAGCATTTGAAATAATTTATCTTAATAGCCAATAACAAAGTGCGTGAGAGATGATAATATACCATATGTGCGAGATTGACAGTCAATAACAAAATGTGTGGGAATGATAATATACCATATATACAAGATTAGCAGTCAATACCAAAATGTGTGAGAATGATAACATACCATATATGCAAGATTAAACAGTCAATACCAAAATATGTGGGATCCTATCAAGGTCACATCTGTCTGTCCTCTTCACCTTACTTCCAGTGACTGGCTTGATCGAATTTTATAGAGGATTCGGAAAGATCTGTCAAACTAAGCCATACATCCACAAGATGTTCTGCTGTAAAACTGAAGACAGATATTTTTCACCAGGGTTCTTCGGAGATTTTTCAGTTCTTGGGGCATGTTTTCTCAACGTTGAGGAAGGTGAATAAATAACATTGCTCTTCGACTTCAAGAAAACTATCCATTTCATGTAAGTTTCTGGTAAACAGATCTCAGAGGTGAATTAGAATCCTTTCTTAGGAAATGAACATAGTAGGGGCAGAAATTTATGTCCAGAATGCGGCTGATGTAAAGATGAGAATTATTCAAAATGTGAAGCGTATTTTCATGATTCCTGTTCTTACCGCAGAGAATCATGTTGTCGTCGATATGGTAATCACACAGAAATAAAAGTAATCTATCCTTTTCAATTAGCTAGTGACTTTTAGGCTTAACTATAAACCAGCCACCCAAGGCGATTCCTCGAACTGGTATACTAACTGATTCAAACGTGGCTTGTAGTTATAAAATTCAGATGTGTCAGATAAAAAATGAAAACCAAGTATCACTAAATAAGTGTTTCGTTCTATCTCGAAACTCTTCAATAAAACATTTGTACTGTAAACCAACAGAAAATGAAAAGAAAAGGTTATTAGTTACCAGCTAAACGGTTGAATAGTAGGGCTCTGCGCTTGTTACCAAATAAACCATGTTTTATTCTATCAAGTTCCACAGTAGAATAAAAATTGTCACTGAATGTTCCTTTATTTTAAATAACATTCTGTTTGGTGTCGAATTACGAAGAATGTTTGAGCTGAGTATTTTACAAACCCACAATCAGGTGAGTAATTAAAAATTAGAATACTGGTGAAGGTTTCATACGTCGTCCACCTGAAGAAGAACTGAACAGTTAAGAATAAAGTTATCATCACATTAGAATTCAGAGAATATTATTCCAAACTCCATTGATATGCATTTCTAGCCACTGTAAAGAAATTCTAGAGGGTCCGTTATTAGTTAATCTTCCCTTGACAATGCGTGTTTCTCAGAAGGACGACGAGTTCTTCACCTTTTGAAGTATACAGCCTAAAAAACATAACAATGTCGCAGATACTAATTTAGAAATCTGAATACCATGAGAATTATGGTCAAATAGGTACCTCTTTTCATCAGATTACTTGTATTCGTTCGATTAGTGTCGAGGTAAATCAGTTTTACCTGGAATCCTGAGGGATGAATGCAGTAGATAGTTGGAATGGTAAACCTTTCCACCTTTCAGTCTGCTCGTGTTCTATTAAACTGATCAGGCAATTTTCTGGTGTCACTTAATTATGATTGTTCAACACTTAAAGTGTGTTGACGGTTCAGCGGTAGAATATTTGCTAACCCCGAACGAGGTCCGTGTTTGACCTCCTACAGACGCACTTCTAAACCTTGTTTAGCCGGTAGTAAACCTGTTAAACAGGGAAGGTTGGATGTCAGGTAAGCAGCCCCACCTAGTGAAAAAGAACTCCACTATCAGAATCTTAGAGCTCAAGCTTGTAGCCGTCTACTACACTCGGGACTCATATGTGACAGAAACTAAAATACAGAGTCCATGGAATTCCACATGATAGTCAACTGATTATGTACTTACTGTCAACTATTTATTCAGTAAGTTTTCTGTATGCGAGTTTTCAACTTGAAACGCACTACACCACTACCCTAGGTTTGAACGTGCGGGCCATATTGTGATATTTGCTACTTATCAACAAATATTGATAGCAGCCATGGTAACTCCTCGAAACGCAAAGATAACGAGGAATTCTCAGGAAAAACAAACTCGAGAAGAGGACTGCTATTCCGATGATAATTTAATAAGTTACAGAGAATAAAGAACGAACATCCGCATTACAGAATAACTGACAAGGTTAGAATCAATGAAAGGCTTATTATTTTTTAAACTTCCACTTTAGTTTGTTTCTGTAAACAGTAGACTCCTCTTCTTCCCTTCAGTACCGCTAACTTTTGAGCAGCATATTTGATCAACCTGTGAAGTTAACCACCTAGCAGAAAGTGACGCCATACTTAGATGAAAAAATAATTAAATAACAACAGAAACACCAATACATTTGGTTTATTAGCTCACTTAACACAGACATATATTTTTAAATTCATATTTTGAAATTAAAGTGGCTAATTTCTATTTACCAGCTGATAGTGCTTTGAAGTTAGGTTAAATGGTGAAAACACGGGATAACGGTTCTACTCATTTCGAGGTGGAATACTCAGCTAGGTACCTCTTAATTTAATCACCATTAAGTCTTTAGGAAATAGTCGAAAAAATCCTGGAGTTAATTTTATACTACTTATTGCTGACCCAGTATTATTAATGTGAAAGCCAAAGCATTAGACTAGAGACTCAGAACGTCATGAAAAATATCAGCAAACGCTTTCATTAGCTCCATAGTGAAGATCATATGGTCGGATGAGATAAGCAACAAGGAACTCTGGTAACGAACCAATCATGAAAATATCACCCAACAAATAAACCGAAGAAAGTGGGGATGGATTAGATGTATACTGAGAAGACCTTTGGTTGACATCCCATATCAAGACCTCGAGTGGAGCCCAAATGGAACGCGAAATGATAGCAAAGTAGTTGTTTAACTTGAGATTAAGGATGAAAGCTCACACTGAACAATAGAATGAAGATACAACAATTTGCACACTCCTTATTTCTTGTTTGTGGTTACCTGTTACCCAATACGAAATTCACTTGGCTAACATCATTAAAACTGCGTCAATTGTAAGCACAAGGATAAAATACCAATTGTCTTTCAGAAGTATTAAAGTGTTATGGTTATATCATAGATTCCGTTAACCTATCGAGACTCATAGGATCTGCAAATGAAAATGTACTTGTATAGTTGAGTGAAGGGGAAACCAAATGCGTATATATTTCGTTTTTAGCCCACTTGGTAGATACTGGGCATTCAACAAGACTGGAGTGGGCGTTCTTAGTTGTCCACCGTTCCCCTCGTAATCTGTCTAGAACAGCTGGTTCACGTCTTCTATTAGCAGCTGAGATCAATACTAGAAGATCTGGTCACTGTGTGTAGAAGAAGTATGTCAAGCCGAATTGTTTATCTTGGCCCATAATATGGTCAACAAATGCCCATAAACATTGGTATTTAACACTTTAAATTCCAATCCTTATTCCTCTTTCTTCCCCTTTGTTTCACTGACAGACGGCTATCCCACCAAACCTTTTACAACTTCAGGTTTATATAATGATTTTCAAAGTCGTTATCATATTTCCACAATCCTTTTTATTCCACTTTATTAAATTCATTATTACTTGATAATCATTGAATTGAATTCTTTGACTTTCCCGTCGATTGATTGGACCGAAGTGCTCGGTCCCAGGTTGACATGTCGGCTTCTTGTGCAGATGCTTCGACGATGTCTGGTCATTTAATTAGTATACAATTGGTGGATAGTGGCTAGCAGTAGAATCCAGGATGCGCATTTCGTCCTATTTGGGACTCGTCAGCTGGATGTACCTGCATTTCTCAGTGAGTGATGATGTTCCCACCGAGGCTCGAACCCAGTGCCCATAGTTTCAAACGCCAAAGCGTTATCCACTAGACCAAGTGGTCCATCCTGGATTCCACTGCCAGCCACCATCCACCAATTGTATACTTGATAATCGTTTACTAATGATACTTTTATGTTTCCACCACACCCTCATTATTATTTTGGCCATCGGCATTACTGTTGTTATTAGTCACTCTTGAACTCACATCTAGTCTTTCTCCTCTGTTGGTTTATTTCCTTGTAATATATATATATATATATATATATATATATATATATATATATATATAATATCCCTCACACACCACTGTCTACGTGCATCCTTGAAGCCAGTACTTTTTTGTTCAGTATACATGCATAAACACATATCATTAAACTATTTCGTTTCATTTTACCTTGTATTCTTATTGACCACACATGTTTTAAATGACAATCAAAAATAATTGACTATTATTCCATCTTTCACTTTTACCACATATTATTATACACTTTTTGATATAATTCTAATTTACCTTTATTGACCCTACTGTTTGCTGAAATTAATAGGTTTATAAGTGCAGGGCCTGTAGAAGTATTTATTGAAAACAACTGTTCACTCTAACTTTTTTTGTTCTCAATATAAATTGAAAATGGATCAATCAGTTTTTATCGATTAGTAGATCATTTTTTGAAAAAGAAGGTATTCTGTCTGATTAAACATCAGTCATATAATTAGTAAGTATCAAGTAAATTATAATCATGAATATATTTTAAGAAAAACTGAATAACTTGCACTTGTCTAATGCTACAAAACTATAGACGAAATAGATGTGAGTTCTAATCGTATAAACAGGATATATTCCCTCTGTAACAAATGCAAATAAATTAACCAATCAATTCATTCTAAAGTAATTTCCTTATTTGAAAAAGAATGAATCATCAAACTTGTACAGATTTATATTTCCTTCGAAATTGAACTACTCAGAGTGCTACGTATATTGTTTTAATGAATTAGACAAAAATGGCGGACAGTCACTACATACAAAATTTATCAAGTAAAAATTTAAAACAAAAGGAATATGAAACAACTCGATCACCAGATTGCATCGAAATCAACTTATCAAGTTTACATGAGAATAAAAACTCGACAATAACGAAAAATGATGTATTTATGAATAATTTAATTTATTTATTAAATTCAAGTGGAATGATTCGACGAACACAATCTTCATCAGCTGACAGTTTATTTTGTAAGACGAATGCGGATAAAATGTAAGTTGTTTTTATTACTATGAAACTTCTGAGATTTAAAAAGTATATTTTATGTATATACATAAATCTTACTACCAGCTACCAATCACTGTAGATTACGTTGATATGTAAAATGTCTGAGGATGAAGCCTTGTAAGCTCTTCTGGCAAAAAGAAGTTATTGTCTCTTCCGTCAGTAATGTAACTCTGCCATCAGACTCATCTCAGAGTATAAGCAGATTATACTACAATAGTAACTGCTATCAATTCTAATCAGTTATCCAGTCGAACTTTATAATGAGGAATCAAGTTCAGGAAAAATGCACTCACTATAGCTGTTTTGGTTCAATACAATTTTTAGCCATATAATACGAGTTGCGCAATACTTTGTCAATATTTTAATGTCATTTGTGTTACTTAAAATGAACTGCATAGTGGCTTCATGAATTGTAAATGTATGTTCAAATGCATTGTTTGTAGCCTGATACATTATACTGATATTTTCTGTTGACCCTAAAATCAGGGTGGAGCCAGATGGATCAGACATAATTACCGTCTGAATGACTGAATTTCAGCATGAAACTCTGCACAGAATTGCAATAGTCCAAATTACCACACTGCATGTAACACACAAAAGTAGAGAGGTAAAAAATCCAAGAGATCCACAACTGGAAGAAGTGTAAGGGAGGAAGAATAGAAACATGAAAAATAATGAGGATTAAATAGATTTGGGATATCACAATGAATGAATGCACCTGCAACATTTTGAATGATTTTGAGCCATATCACCAACTGTCTCCATCTGCTGGTTCTTAGAATCCCGAGGTCTTCAACCAAGTGGCCTACACCTCCCTACACGACCAGCTAAAACCAGCTGCTGTCGAAAACTTCATGGAGTGATATCAGTTTTTGGTTAAACAGCCTCTAAAGCTAACATTGCCCGCCGAGTGAAACGACGGCTCGGCATGCACAGTGCATACTATAGCCACCTGACTTCATGTAACTTCACTACCTCATCTACTGAGGTGTATATAAATGGATGAAAATGAGGTGAATTTGTAAAATACTCAGCAACTTATTATATTTAAAGCTTAAAACTTTATTCCATCGACAGTTATATAATTTATGACGAATATACTTTGTTTTTGAGATATGTGCTTAAGGAAATTTGGCGAAGTATTTTCAATGTCTAAACAGAGTATCTCTCCTATATACCTGCCTACTACCTTTCAATAACAACAAATGTAACGCTATAAACATAGATGATCCCACACATACTAACTTTTATATATTTTCAAAATTCACTAGACCACTAAATTCTTCTCCCCCACAGTTATTCGACTGTGTGACTTATATTAAGATTATTTCACTACTACAATAGGAATTTTATAATGAAGTCTTTCAGCGATAAAATCTACTTTGAAAATAACCAATTTTTGAAAAGACGCCGGTTTTGCGACTGATTTCTTAAAGTTTTGATTTTTTTTAATTGATATTCAACGAGCTTATCAAGTTGATGGCAAAGACGGCTGACATAAAATAATGGCTGATATATAAAATAGGTTGAAAAATGTCGGGAAATTCCTTGTGGTGGATATGAGATAATATTACTTTTTTGAGACCTGGTAATACGTCGGTTGAAGTAAAAGTTATCTAACACTGATTTGTTGTCAATACACAAAAAAAGATTGATCGTCTAATAAATCACACCAATAATTACAATAAACACTTTAAAATACATTCTATGTGGAAAATAAAGTAAAAGATTTACAACTAATATAAACCACACAAATGATAAATTATTTAGCAGCATATGATCAAATCCACCATCACAGGAAATAAAATAAGCCATTGTGTAAGAGTAGCTTACAGTTATTTGAATTTTATGATAGACACTTCACTAGATGAAATTATCATCTACATTTTCCTATATCCACTTCTCTATCGCCATCATTCTTACTTTGTTATTATTCTTTCTGCGATGAATATAGTAGTGAAATCGAGAAAGCATATTTATTACGCTATTCGGAAGTTTGTTATTACTGTTAACACTCGAGTTCCTGGTGGAACATAGGGCTTTAACAGGACATCCCTGCCTATTTATACTTTTTTCTCTGCAGTCCTCTCCAGCTAGCCCCACAAATGCGCATTAGATACCATCCCTTCCTCATCTGACATCTTCCATGTCACGTTTGGACACATATCCAACTCGTGTTTTTCCCATCCAGATCCCGTTCGGACGATGGCCTGACGCGCAATATCACCCGACGGTCTCCTTAGCGCGTGCCCAATCCGTGCCCATTTTCTTTGGAATATATGCCAATCAATAGTTTCTTGAATGGTTCCCTCTCAGAATTTCTTGTTGCTGATTTTTTCCAGTCATTTGGTTTTCAATATGGAGTGTAGGTAACTGTTGATAAAAGTATGTAACCTGTTGAAAAAGCTTTACATGACGCTCCATGTTTCTAACCCATACAGCAGAACTGACTTACTTGACGTCAGTGTTGAAAATACAAAGTTTGTTCTTTACGATTAGTGTAGAAGATTTCCAAAGTGATTTCAGAGTGATGAATTTCTGCCATGCCTCTCCGATTCTGGCTCTCTTTAACATTCTCATCTGTGCTGTAGCCTATAGTTGAAATGATGCGGCCTACATAAGTGAAGAATGTGACCTCTGCCAAATTTCTCTTGTTGATAGTGATTCATGTTTCCTGTTGGTGATGTTGGTTAGCTTCATCACCTCCATCTTTTCCATGTTCCATTGAAGTCTTGTCTTTGCTGTTTCACATGCCAATTTGTTGGTTTTCACCTGCAAGTCTTCGAGTTTGTGTGACATTAGATATAAATGGTCTGTGAAATTCACCCTTTCTATAAACTTATCGGTCCGACGTATTAGTCTCTTCTCACGCCCCACAGTCTGGCACATAATCCAGTCCAAAACAATTCGGAATATCCTGGGTGATGACAGACAGCCTTCTTAGTCTTACTCTATGCAGTCTTTACTTCATACGCTTCGCTGAGTTTTCTGTTGTGGATCACCTGACACATCGAGTAGTTATATAACTGCTGCGCTACGTAAAGTTGAAGTGGTTTTCAGTTTAATTCATAGCTAACATTTTAGGTTTTTCAAAGTCGATAAAGTTTAGGCAGAGTTTTAACTGTCATTCTATTCTCTATTAAGTGATGATATGTAGCGTTTTCCTTTTCTGAAGGTAGCTTGTTCCATTGAGCAGGGTTCTGCATCCAGTGTATTTTCGATTCCCTCTAGGATGAAACCATTCAATATTTTGCTTGACATGGATAACTGCAGGAGTTAGCACCAGTTCTTAAAGAGACGCCCTTGTTGAGCAGTTTGACAAGGCAGCCTTCTTACAACCAGTGAGTATTTTTCTTCCCTTCCAAACATTTTACAGTAGCTGCGCCAGCATATCCATTGCGGTCACTGGAATCGTTTTCAGTGCTCGAAAATTTGTTAACTGGGCATAACTCTACCTCTTTTGAACTATGAATTAAATTCTAACGACTTCGGAAAAACAGTTAATCAGTCAGGTTATCTAACTGAAAGAATAGCAAATATATTTTGTTATGCCAGTAATCAGTTCTTACTTCATATTTCACTAATATATGTGAACGTATCCTATTTTTATTTCATTGTGTTAATAGGTCAATTCAACCAGAGTTCATTTTATCTGAAACAAATCAAGAAAATATAGAAGTTATGCAAAACTTCATGAACCACGACCATAATGATCAAATTGTAAATCTACAAAAAAGTTACTCTGCTGCAGATATTATGAATAGATTGAATAAAATGATTACTGAAACTCATCACAAGTCGAGAAGTGATGATGAATTAACGGCCTTACTTATGCCTCTATTGAAAATTCAACCGAATCAGACGATAAATGAGACAGTTTTACCGCAGTATGGGGATATAAATTGTGGATTTGATTGTCGTCCTTATCAAGGACCGAAAACTCCACCCTCACCGAGAATAAAGAAAACTAAATCAGCGTTACTACACGAAATGAATTACTCATCAAGTAGTAATGTGACTGAGAAAATCAGACAATTTAATGACCAGTCACAAATATGCTTTGATTCTAATTGCAATACTTCTTGCCATACATTACCAATTGATCAAAATAAGCTATCAGTTATATCAACCATTCCAAAGTTTTGTGAGCTTCATACGAATTCTGCCAAGTGCACCTACAGAAAACATTTGTCAGACATATCTTCCGATATAAACCTACATTCTATTCAAAGTGACTTAAAACCTACAAATAAGAAGTATATTTCTGGGTCTTCCAATGATATACAACTATCAGCCGACCGATTTCATAAATCTAAACGTTATTCTGAGGAACATTCTTACTCATCCTTGGCACATTCATCAAAATTTCCTGAATATGTTTCATTTACTTCGGACGATGATAATCCAAGATCTAATAAATGTATCACTAATCGCTCGAATGAAAACTATGACCAACCACTGACTGACGACGAAAAAGAGTGTTTTCATTTATCACATAAAAAGAAACTGCACCGGTCTAAGAGGGAAAAATTTAAGAAGGAAATAGAGCGTCGGTCATTACACTTATGTGATAAGTCAGTTGTTAAAACTAGTTCAAGCAAACATTTGTATAGGTCAGAAGATTTTCGTAAGCATACTTCTGAGTATTCTAACGATAAATATTTACCTCTAGACAAGACCATCAGGAGAGTGGACTACACATACCGACCTATATCTTCTAGACAGACATATTTAATCTCCCACCCTGAAAGGATATCTCGGAAGAGTCTAGACTCACATAGTCATTCGTTTGTCAGACGTCATAAACGTCCCTATATGGCTGATAATAAAGCTTTTTGCAGACAATCTGATTACAACAGTGCTAATGAAACTGAATGGAAATCGGGTTTTCGATCATCCCTTCGCCATGCAGCTTCTAGCTCCCGTTTCTTTTCTAAGAAGCCATATCCCCACACTGCCCAAACTATCTCAATACCATCATCATCATCAAGTAGGTTTGTGATGTCAGGCAGAGACCATCTTAACGAACAATACGACAAATCACCTAAAAAACTCTATAGAAAAACTCTGGTGCACAAACATCGACGAAGAACTATTTACAGAGGACCACCTTCTCCATATGCGGTGGCATGTAGTTACAGCAATTCCTTGCCTCATGATTCACCTTTTTCACCATCAGAAACTATACGTGAAGCAGATACTCCAGACAGTATCTCTTCAGTCTCTAACAGTTGCTCACATAACTATGCTAAAAATAAAAGTCACAAAGATTATCGTCTGAAGTCAAGTGAGTTCAACTCGTCTATTTCTTCATCATCATCATCAACAACAGTTTCACCCCCAATGGATCATAATTTGTCTATGAAAGCAAGATTATGTTCTGTAGTTTCTAGTATCCCAGTAGTACCTGATGTAATACAAAATGTCATCTGCAATAATAATCATAATAATAATAACTACATTGATGTTTATTGTTCAAAGGCTTCTAAAACTATTGCTTCATCGAATAACATATTCCATCAGGCTTCAAAAGAATCCAATCTTTTGGTTAATGAAGATAATCTAACGTATCAGTTACCTAAAATAACTGGTCACAAGAAGTCATCAACAGTAACATCAAGTTGTTCCAGTAACGTAATGAATGATTTACATACTCAACAAAATATTCAAGAATCAAACGGAACTATACAGCCAAGAAGATCAGGAAGTAAAACCAACCAGAGTAGCATACAAGCTAATTTCACAAGCAGGAGTATAAGCAGAGGTAGTAGCAGTACAAGTAGCAGCAGAAGCAGCAGCAGTAGTAGTGGAAGTAGTAGCAGGAGCAGTGGCAGCAGTGGAAGTAGTAGCAGTACCTCTGGGAATAGCGATTACAGTAGTAGTAGTAGTAGTGTTAGCCATAGTAAAACCAATGTCAGTACAGATCCTATTTCTAATTTGTCGAATTATGAGGCTTCTTTTTCAAAAGACAAAGAAGACCACCCCAATCATAATTCTCAATATCAGTCCCAACAACAACTGTTTCTTAATATCTCTGATCCTTCTTATTTTCATACTGATGAAAGTCTTGTCGAAAATCAAGAAAGTAACAAGTACAGCATGCAAACAGTGTCTGAAACACTCACAAACTGTAACACTTCTGAATATGAAATACTGACAAATTTATCAGCCTTGAATGTTCCTGTTTCTAAAGTTGAAAACTTTATACTTCCAGTATCATCAGATATACAAGAAAAGTTATCAGAAACAAATTGTAAACATGGAACAGAGAATTCAAGTAATGATATCAACTTACAGATAAATGAGAAATTGAAATGTAATAATCAGTTACAAAGTTCAAACAATTTAAATGAGGAGATTCATTCGAAAGGTGAAATATCTAAAGAAAATCCATTAGATAATGACAATTATGCATCTCTAAGTGATTTTGAAAACTTTTCGAAAGAGTATAAAAGGCATTCAGATCACCTAGATAATTATAAGAAGAAGAAAAGTAATAGAAGAAAATTAGATGCATACTCAAGTCCTAGTTCGCCTTTAGTTGATGAAGAACAACAAACTAAGAAACGTAAAAGACTCGATAAGATCAAGTCTGTTGTAGTTGTACACAACGATATAAGTAAAAGGACAAATGTTGAGTTGAACTACAAGTTAAGTATGCGCATTAACAAAGATTATGGTAACACAGAAGAGGAAGTAGTTAATGCGAAAAATGATGCGAAAACTGTACTTTTAGAAACTGATGATCTAGTAAGAAAAGATTCGAGTTATAATGAAAACCACAATGATGACAGCGATGGCCACAACGGGAATAAAGATGAAGGAATTAAGAGATTAGAGAATTTAATGATTGAAGAATCGGTAAGGCAGGATGATGTTGAGGAAGAAGGTGAAATTGTTTCAGATGGTACAAGTGAAGTTGAAGAAAGTGGAAAGAAATGTCGAAGAAGAGACTCATCTGAATACACTCGCCTTCAAGGAACTGGTAATTCCAGTTCTCACGTTTATTCAAGAAAAAAATATGATTCCTCCTCTAATAGAATCTGGTCAGACACTGATAATGATCGAATTACATCACCTAGGCACAAAAGTAAAATCCTGTCGCACAGTGGAAATCTGAAGAGCAGAATGAACTTGTCAACTAGACACCATTGCTATGATGAAGATAATAGGAAGAAAAATATCATTACAACAAGCTATACTAACCATCTAAAATATCAGTCACATAACTTGAAACCGTCACATTTTATTCATCAAAACAAGATAGACCATAGAGTAAAGTTTCGTGAATACAATCCTCGAAGCTACTATTTTAATAAGTATCAAACTTATCCCGGAAGATATTTCTCATCATCTTTAAGAAAACAAATCTTTTTCAATAAGTTATATTCTGAGGTCAGTAAACCATCAGGAAGAATTAATAAGCTATATAAACCGCATATAGTTAATTCAGAAATACCTGTTGAATGTATACCAAGTTGTAAAGATTTTAAGATGAAAAAATTGAGAAGACTGGAAAAAAGTAGTCGATCAATTTCTCTCAAATATGAAAAACAGAGCAGTTCAAAGTCTGATCACCCAATGAATTCAGTGTCATCAACATCTACCTCAAAGACAACATCATTACAGTCGTCTCACTACCATCCATCTCATAAGCATTATTTGAAGCATAGTTCTCATAAATATAAATATGATCATGAAAATCGTAAAACTGTTGACAGTTAGTCAAAAGGATATTTGTTAACAAACCATGTTTAAAATATCGTCATTTTTTAATAAGACAATTTGGTATGAAATATTGATGTAATGACTTTATACCATTCAGGGTAATTGACGATTTTGTTGATGTTGCATAAACAATGTGTTGACACTGTTTGATTAGTTCATTAAATCCCTATAATAAATTTTTTTAATCAATATTAGAATTCAAATATATATTTTTAGAGGTTGAGGGTGTTGACGTTAACGAATAGTACGAAGTGTACTAATGGAAGATCTAATATCCACAACTTCTATAGTATTCGTTCTGCGTAGACCAAAGGCATAGGCAAAACACAGAAACTGATCGTCCGAATTAAGAACAATATTTCGGGACCAAAGTTTAGTGCGAGGTTGTTTGCTTACCTACCTAGAGATAATGCACGAACGAACATAATACAACGGTGTACCGAATGGCATGGATGCTTGACCCTAAGCCTTCAGCTAAACAAATAGACTTAAACAGTGAGTGTCAGCATCTGATGTTCCATGATGAATGCTGTCGCTTATAACTTTGGGGAATTACCAACAGCTATTTATTGTAATATATAAAAGTTATTCACTTGTCTTTATATTATTATTATTATTATTATTATTATATTCTTTAATTCCTAGAGGAATATAGGGCTTCAGCTGCGCGTCTCTATTGCCTTCGGTTTTCTGCCAACTTTTTCACCCAGCTCCAAGTCTGCCCACATGCTTTCATCTCCTCTTCACATGACCTCCTCCAAGTCACCCTTGGACGACCAACTCGCCGCTTGTCTTTAGGTGTTACTTATGGTGAAAGACAGGATTAACTTTTGATGTTCTCTAGAAATGAGTGAGATCTCATTGGCTGAATGGCATTGATGTTAAGAACTTCTCACAAGTAAAGCAAGGCGATCTTTTCTTGTATGAAACTTTAAAAAGACAATCATTATAAATTACTTAAAATAACCCCAGTATTTAATTGGTGGATGGTGACTAGCAGTGGAATCCAGGATGCGCATTTCGTCCTATTTGGGACTCGTCATCTGAATGTATCTGCATTTACCAGTGAGTGATGATGTTCCCACCGAGGCTGGAACCCAGACCCCATAATTTCCAACGCCAAAGCGTTATCCACCAGACCACTTGGGCCACGAGAACCACCTCTTGTGCAACGGGACCGAGTACTTCGGTCCAATCAATCGACGAAAAATCTAAAATTCAATTAAAATAATCCCAGTATGTTTAGAAAATCAAAATAAGATTTTTCTGAACTTTTCGGTGTGTATACGTGTTATAACTGTAGAGAATTAGATGAAGACGTTGTCGCCTTGTTCTGTCTGCGCCTGACTAATATGCCTATCTGCTTGTGGTACCTTCCGATTCAGTGAACCACGCAAATATCAAAAGACAACTACGACAAAGAACTTATTTAGGAAAACAACACGTGGTATTTATACATTTTTACAACAATACAAACAGCTAACAGCATTTGAAATAATTGATCGTAATAATCAATAACAAAGTGCGTGGGAAATGATGATATACCATTTATGCGAGATTAACAGGCGTTGAAATAATTGATCAATAACAAAGTGCGTGGGATCCTATCAATACGACAGCTACTTGAGTAGAATTACTTGGACTTCCTTAAACATCGAAATATATAGTCAAATAGTGCATAAATTGGAATGTAGTGAACTTATTTGAAGGTGAAATATGCAAAATATCTTGTTTTGATTTCTCTAAATACTCTGGAACTATTTTAAATAACTTCCACTCGAAACTCTATTTATTTCAAGAAATTAGCGACATCTATGGTCTGGTTATTTAAAAAAACAAGAACGAAGAAAGAAAAGAAATTTGGCTTCGCCTTCTAATGTAAATGAAATTCTGAACATGCATTCTGGGACTATGAATCACGCAAAACCCATGCCATGCAGCTGGTAAAATCTTGTAGGTTCAGACTGGCTAAGCTAGAAAGGTCATTTAGGAATCACGCTCACCTACAGTGTATCATTATATCATTACTTTATTAGTTAGATTAGCACTAATGACGTCAAGGATATTGGTGGTAATGTAGGCAAAAGCAAACAGGTTACTGGTGCAAGATTGTTTGTTAAACAAACTACCCACAGTATTGGTAAAATATGAAAACCCTCAATTGGAAATTCAGTTGACGCAAACTATCCATCATCCGGTTACTGCAGCATTTCTCTTCTTCTTAATTCTCTTTATTCTGCAGTTTCTGTATTGGTTAAAAATCCTAACCACTTTCAAGATTTTCGCATAAAATATTAAATTCTGTATATCACTTACAAACGTTTGTCAGTAGCACAAGCCGCGATGGAACACTCAAGGCTAATTATCAAAGTTCAGACTGCTTATAAGTTGACTTCATGCCACAAGAAAGCTTCCTGAGCTAACATTTGCCGTCAGTTTCCTCTAATGGTATGACGGATGTAGTTTTCTGTAGCCCAACACTCTAACCGTTCAACACTGAGTGCTGACCCTCACTGTTTAAGTCAACTTGTTGATTGATATAAGTATAAAACTTGGGCACTGTGGTAGAGTGTAAGTCCATTATGGATAAGATTTTATTTCGATAAATCACACAGTGTTGTACAGTTATATTAACTGATGACGTTTCGAGCACAAACTATTGCTCATAATCATATCAAGTAACTCACACAACTTTTTTCTTTCATTTATATACATGGGTGGAATCGATTAGATATTGGATTTACAATCAATGTGAGATAATATCCATTCAGAAATAATAGTACGAGTGTTATTGACCCATTGCAATTATGTGGGAAATACGACTGTTTATACTCGTACTATTATTTCTGAATGGATATTATCTCACATTGATTGTAAATCCAATATCTAATCGATTCCACCCATGTATATAAATGAAAGAAAAAAGTTGTGTGAGTTACTTGATATGATTATGAGCAATAGTTTGTGCTCGAAACGTCATCAGTTAATATAACTGTTCAACTTGTTGAGTTGAAGGCACTCAGTCAGTTGTCTATGCTACTTTGGCTCTCCGTCGTGTTACGTTCGGTTGTTGACATCACTACCATGGGTTTCTGCACTAGGAATTTATTTCATACTTTAAGAGGAACAATCTGTCTTCTGGATTGGCTCTTTAACGGTTGTCTGGTAATATAGAGCAGGCGCATTAGCGGTTGGATGATACATGCACGTATTCTCGTTTAATTGCATCTTGCTAACTTGTCAACATTAGTCGTCTGCTTAACTAATCATCTCAAAATCATGCTTCACTCTTTTCCGGTGAATTTTTTCCATCTTGTACTCGTTTCAATATCCAGTATCGTTTTTACTAGCTAGTGTAGACCAAGTTGATTTCTCTGTACTCATTTCTTGGTCGTAAGCTAAACGTTCCTGGTCTTTTGTAAAATTCTGCATAGTTCGTCTCCCCACTCAAGTGTCGTAGCTTTAGTTGACTCTAAAAGCACTGGGATTGGTTACATGTTGTTTGTAGTATGTGGTGTGTTTTGACCGTGTGGCTATTGGGAATGGAGTTGATCCTTTCACCCGTTAGTTGCTCCGTATATCCAAAAATAGAGAAAACGATAATAAGAGAAATAATCAGTGTAGATTATGTAGACTTAAAAGATGGAATCAGGTGGCTAATGAAATTTGAAATTATATTTATTACTACTCCCTTGGGTTCCAAGCGGAACATTATATATAGGTTTATCATCCACGGGCGAAATTCCTATCTTCTAGAGTCTTCTCATCGGTCGTCCAGAGTATTCTTATCTCCTGGTTCCCACGTCCGGTCTGACGTATAATCCAGCCAGTTTACCACAATGAAGAGCATCATCGATGATAACAGACAGTCAGTCTTATCTTACTCTTGTATTCACTTCAAAGACTTAGCCGAATTTCTCGTCGTGGATCACCTGTCACGTGGCATTGTCATATAGCTGTTGAGTGAAGTATATAAAAACTTGGGCACTGCAAGCTGTATTCCGGTTGAATTAGGTTCCAAATTATTTCTGGGTCAACGCTGTCTTTTGAAGGCCTTTCTGAAGTCTATGATGTTGAGGCAGGGAGAGGTTTGACTGCCATTCTATGCTTTGTTCTGTGGTGACGGTGTGTAGAGTTGCAATTTGATCAGCACATGATTTGCCTTTCCTGAATCCAACTTGTTCCGGTGGGGCGGAGTTCTGTATACATTGCATCTTTCATTCTTTCCAGGATGATGCGACTTAGTATTTTACTTGGCATGGACAAGAGCATGATTCCACGCCGCTTCTTGCGCGGCCCTAAGTCTCCCTTCTTTGGCGAATTGAAGAGGTAGCCAGTCTTTCTTCCAATTAGTAGGCACCTTTCCTTCTTTCCAAACGTTTTGCAGTAACTGAGTGGGAACATCCGTAGTAATCTCCGGGGCCGTCTTCAGTGCTTCTAAAAGAGATGCCGTCTGGTCCTGCTGCCTCTTCGGGATTCAGTAGCTTGGTCGCATTCCGGATTTCTTCTTTTGTTGGAAGAGTGGTGCCCACTGGCAGGCAGTTCTCTTCTTTCTCCCTAGAAGATTTGTATACGTTTCCTAGAACATCACCTTCAGAGAGTTAGTTCCAAAGTTCTTCCACGCAGGTTTCCTCAGTGATGCCACGTAGTATCCCCAACTTTGCTCTGAAATGATGTGTAGTGAATACGTTCCTTGTAGTTTTGTCCTTCTGTTTCTGAATGTTGAGCTTGAATTGCGGTCTGTCTCCACTTGTTTTCGTGGATTTCAGATGCGCCTTGAAGGTTCCTTGAACTGGATGATGGGCTGATCCCACATCTGCTCCTCTTGTGGAGTACGTAACAATGTGACTGTACACTTTTTGGTTATTTGTAGAAATTAGAGATATTGTACATAATTTTTGTTTAAACCATCAAGAGATGACATAGTGATACCACTGTTAGTATTATGTGATGACAGGACACTTGATACCAAGTGACTCGGATGACCACCACCGACATACGATGAAGAAGTACTAATGGTGATGATGATGGCTTCCGAGCCATTAGAAAGATCAGATTATGATTGTTGTAGTGATGTTGGAGGTAGGGGTGGTCAGCATTCGACGAATACAACATTGTTAAGATCACATGCTACTTCTAAAGGTGTACTGCTGTCATCGTCTTCATTATCCAATGTATCGTTTCAACCTTGGGTATCACCCTCACAGAGTGCATTTCCTTCAGTGAATAATCCATCTCTGTCATCAACCACCACTATCCCGTTGATGAATCGACATGACGCAACAATGTTTTCAACAACACCAAGTTTATGACCACCAATGTTGGATCAACAAAATATTGTTGATATGATGAATATTAGTTGTTTAACAGGTGGTAGTTCTTCTTCATCGTATGTCGGTGGTGGTCATCCGAGTCACTTGGTATCAAGTGTCCTGTCATCACATAATACTAACAGTGGTATCACTATGTCATCTCTTGATGGTTTAAACAAAAATTATGTACAATATCTCTAATTTCTACAAATAACCAAAAAGTGTACAGTCACATTGTTACGTACTCCACACTCTTCTCGACTTTTTGCCCAGCAGGCTGAGTCTCCACTTCCTTGAGTAGTAGTGTTTATGGTGTGTCCGTGAGGCGAAATCCATGTTGCTTTGTGTATATCCTTGTGTTTATATACGCCCCTTCCGATCACCAAATCGTTGAAAGAGAAGAAGTCTGCGAATAATTCTCCGTTCTCATTCATTTCACTGAGTCAGTGCCTCTCGACCCATGATGAGTTCTCTTCCTGCATTATCTGCTCCCAGTTCAGCTGGCATTCATACCGCCCATGAGGATTTTGATGTTATCATTTGGACTGTTTTCCATTACTGTTTGGAGTTGTTTGTAAAAATCTTCCTTCTTCTCTTGTTCCGCGTTGTTTGTAACACTGTGCGTAGCATTGGATGATGTCGACCTTCTTTCCATGCTTGTGAGTTGGATCTTACTGGCATGATCCTGCGAGACGAAATTGTTTTCCACCACATTAGGGCTTTGGCTGCCACTGGTGACATCATGATAGCCACTCACTGTCTCAGTGTGTTCGTGGTTGTCGTCTGGGTGACAAGACTGACTCACTATTTGAAAATTTCTATAGTCCATATCCATTTCATCTGCTCTCACAGATACCCAACACTTCTGTGACATATTTTCGCATCCCTTAGGCTACTTGGGCAGCTTTCCCAGCCAGCTTCGTACATCGTACGTCCCCATTCTTATCCTTGCTCTCATCTAGAGAAGACATTGGCTGACTGGCCGGCTCCCCCCTCCCAATTCGAACGAAGAATAAGACTTTTATTTGAAGTTTTTGTATTTTTAAAATAATCTCTGTGTGCTGACGTTTTCCTAGAGGTTTGGAAGATTTAGTGGTGTTGAGTCGCCAGCCCCACGCCCAACTATCCCTCCTTACCTGGGCTTGGGAACGGCCGGAAAACTAGCGGGCTAGTCAACTAAGTGAGGTTAGGACAGGTCATTAATATTAGTCAAATAAATCAATGGCCTTAAGAACCCTGGGATTCTGAACTGTGCCCTGATGGTCAAACACGACTTTCCTTGGGTTAGAACTCCCTCTCCTGTCAAATCCCTTCACGAGATCGAGGGGGATCACGTTAGCCGGAGCATTTATGTCCCAGCACGATGTCCAATCACTCAAAGCAGATAATAGATTGGTCACACAAAGTCTACCTGTTCTGAAACCTCGTTACGCTTTATGGAACATGCATTTCATGGCGTGATCACCAATCGGACTTTCCAGTACCTGTAATAATGCTGGATGTAGTGCGACTGGTGTGTAACTCTTGGCTTTTCGGCAGTCCTCACCCTTGAAGATAAGAGAAACAGTGGCCCTCTTCCACTCCCTTGACAGTTACCATGAATCCATGGAGTGTTGGAACAGGTCACATAGGGGCCTACAGAGAGATTCAACTCACTCTTTCAGTACAGGCAACCGAATATTGTCGCAAACTGGAGACTTTCCATAGATGAATTTCCGTAAGTTCCCTATTACCACAGAGACGTTCGCTTGGAGTGTATCTATTGTGTTTTCTCTTGTTAAGTTAGCATTACAGTCCGTTGTGGCATATACCGGTGATACTCACAATCTCATTTAGCTGTCTGCCAAAGGCTTTACTGAATATTTTGACCGTTTCCAAACTAGTGCTATATCAACCATTTGGACATCGTAAGGCGCGTGCCCCCAAGTTGGTAGGCCTTCTTCCCGAAAGGAATCGGTACTCACGTTGGTGATTTGACAAGAGTTTTCTGACAAGATTTGGCTATAGTTACCGTCTGTCACTCCTCATCCCTGTTTTGCATCGGTTACTGAATTTCAGGTGTGCTTTATGGTTAGTATGACTCTTGCAGAGTCACAGTACAAGGGAGCTTTCTGCTCCCCACCAAAATACTCTGAGTGCCAAGTGGATCGTTTTGGGGTTTGTTTCTCGACTAGAGGTATGGTGTCTGAGTTCGCCGTGTGAATAGTCTTTCTTACCACTTCTCAATGTTCCATTGGTAACTAAGCCCGGTTTGGGAGTCATTCGGCATCAAACAGAATTCTTAGCATTTTGGTGCAGTCGGCTTTGCTAAAGAACAGATAATGTCGTCTAGCATTCTACTTCAAGTGATCGCAGAGAAAAGAGAAGCAAACGCTATAACCACATCGTCACTGCTACCTCCAGGCTAATTGTTCAAACGTTTTCAACTAGTAACTGGCCAAAAGCCAGTATGCAGTCCAGTCTTGATTACTTTCCACTAGGGCCCCACATAGTATCGTCCCGAAAGTTCTCAGTCAGCTTTGTATCTCTAATGGTTTGTAGAAGATTTCAGTCAAATTTCCCTTCAGCATGTCTCGAGTCGAGGTTTAGGGATGGGGCACTGAAGGCTCCAGCTATGGTCATTTGGTCGCAGTAGATTTCCTGTTTTCCTCCAATACTTTCAAGCAGTGCTGTACTCTGCTCCACATGAGGGTGATCGGTAGGTGATATCCAGTGGATGCTTGATAGGGCCTACAGTGAAATTACACCACTTACAGTCTGAGAGTTATGTGAGTGGTGAGTCCGTTGAATATACGCATCTGATTTGCTTGTCCAAATATAAGGCAACTCCACCCTCTGCTTCTTATACCTGCCTAAACTGTCTAGAACCGCATCATTTATGCTAATCTCATTGTCGGATTTAGTAAGGATTATCCAGGTTTCGCTTAAATGAGTAGAGCAAACGGAACACGAAAAATTGGAATCGATATGATGATGGATAAATTTTCGGTGGTCTCCGATTTAGGCAGGCCGCAGATATTCTATCTCCTTACCATTCCCATAGGCATCAATCTAATTCAAATACCGTTCCAACAAAACCGGTTCCAACAACAACGAATATTACGTTTAGATGTCCTCTCCTGAAAATTAAACCCAAAAGCGCCTGTCAGCCAACTCTCAGAAACTGTCAGTGTCCAGCTCCTACTACGCTGGACCTCACACTGTCCCTGGAAGACTTTCAGAAACAATTTCTTATAACCAACGCGAAAACCAGAACACAGATTGGCGACTCGAGAATCCTTTATTCTTAAGCCAATACGTAACCAACAATAAGGTTATTACACACAAGGTCTAAGAATAAATGTAATGACAATAAATCACGATAACACTTCTGATAGTTTTCTGTCTTCCACTGAACAGCGAACGATGAGACAATGACTGCTGGATTGATAACTCCCGCGAAAAATATGGAGGAGTTGGGTTTGATCAAACAACCATGAATTCATCGTTCAATCTTCAACTACATTGACACCCCGTCAAAAATGGATCCATCCTTTTTATCCATCACGACCAATACACGTTGACTTGGATGCCAGTGCTAGAACCTGGGTCACACGGACAAAGCTGAAATGGAGAACAAACAGAAAAGTCAACACACCACAGGCATACCCACAGCACAATCACATTCGTCGGCGACGACCCACGCCTTCCAGTTAAAGACATCCTCTTGACATCTTGCAACACAATCGCCACTTCCTAGAATGACTCTTGCAGAACGCAACGTGACCATAGCAGTACCTCATGATACTCTTCGCACATCATATTATCTATCCACTACCAAATAACGCTGCCATCGCTTGTCACTCATTCTACCTCAGTTCCAGTAACGGTGATGTATGCAAGCATCAGTCGTCTATACTCTTGCTCCCCGGCGTGTGAGACCACAGCCTAGACAGAAACATTCATTCTCAATCATTCGTGCCACAGCTAATCATTAACTTGGTGTGCATTACATTCTCAGCAATAGCCTCCCCGGCGTATACGACCCATCTGCTGTCTTTAACATCAATCAAATTATTCACGGATGTAGAAGACTAGAAACAACTTCAGAAGTAAGCACGACGAACAATTTAACAAAACTATGCGATAACAACAACGAGTACGCAGCGAAAACAACGAGTAAACACAATGAATCCAAAAAACACTAATTGATATGACACACCACACGTATATACAAACAGTACACATAACCTCGCGGATCATGTCTCGATGGAATTCCTTTGAAGAATCGCAGGACTTACACCAGTACACCTGCAATCCTTCTCAGGTTGACGATTGTAAGCTGAAGAATGTCCGGACACAAACAAAATTAACCAACAATTACATTAATTGGAACACACACAATTATTTAACACAAACATATGTACAATCAACATATCAAAGTGGTGGATTCTGCCTTGACGAACTACCCTTGAAGAACTGTAGGACTTACAGCAGTACGCCTACATTCCTTCTCAGGTTGATGATCCAAGTGGAAGTCATCCGGACACAAACAGAATTACCAACAGATAGATGACAGATGATAACAATTCAGTGTATACCACATGAACATATGTACAAAATAATACACCAAGCACGTTGGGCTGCTCATTGATGCGCTACCCTTTGAAGAATTGTAGGACATACAGCAGTACGCCTACAACCCTTCTCAGGTTGACGCTCTAGGTTGGAAAATCGTCGCAGAGTTCATTTGCTGACTTCCCTCTATCAGCTATATCCTTAAATCTGAACGGTAACACGCTCAGGTCATTGTATCGTAGAATATAGATGACGAACAAACACGCGACGTATCTGATCAACCAAGCTTCGGTACAGAGTAACTTACACCAAAGATAATAAAATTCAAATAGTAACTTGAAACTAGAAATGCCTCGGTTCATGCAAGTCAATTTAACAATTACTCTGTCGTTTACACCTGGCTTATCCTCACTAAACTGACCAATATCCTTCGTCTTTTCAAA